CTGCTAGCAGAGCACCTCACCCTCCCTGAATGAACTAACCTGGTTATCTCCATACTGATTTATACCTGCCTCTGGAAATTTCCATTACTTGCGTCTGATGAAGTGGGCATTCACCCACGAAAGCTTATGCTCCCAGTACTTCTGTTAGTCTCAAAGGTGCCACAGGACCCTCTGTTGCTTTTTACAGATTCAGACTAACACGGCTACCCCTCTGATACTTAATAACTCTTTATAACCACAGATTACCTAGGAGTTTTGGCTCAGGAGAAGAATGACTTGTTAGCTGCTCTTTGCTCTCAACATTTTATTCTGCAGGAACCAGACATAGTAGTGATTCCCAGTGCAGCACAGGCTGCAGCTGCCAGACATTCCTGCCTCTTAGTTGGAAGGAAGGATTTACTTGTGGTTCAATGCACAGCACAGAAAGTCAGGAGAGCTTGGGTGACATCTTGGCCTCATTGAACTCAGTGTCAAAACTCTCACTGACTTCAGTGGGGGCAGGATTTCATCCCTGGATTTTATTACAGTCTGACTTTAGGAAGGTAACTTAACCATTCTGTCTCTCAGTTTTCTCATTTGTAAAATGGGGATGATACTTACCTAATAGAGATGACATAAAGATATGTTAATGTTAAGGCTCAGCATGACGCTCTTAGAAATCTTCATTACTAAGAGATGTAGTAATATTCTGTTCCTTTCTACAAATGGATCAGAAAAGCTTAAACAGCTGTGAAGGACGGAGAAGTACTAAGGTAGTAGTGTGACAACCATAATACTGCATGAAGTTGGCAGACACTCTTCAGTGTTTTTCTGATCCAATTTGGGGCAAGTGGAGAAGAGATTCTTTGGGATGACCTCAGCCCTATTATGGGAACAGGAGAGAATGTTTGGGCCAAGTGAAGACCTTTTGAAACTTAGCAGAGGTTACCTAAGAAGTGGATGTGGTAAGGAGAGAAAATGTGAAAAGGGAGAGGAGGATTTTTAGTAGAATTTCAACAAATGAAGAGATGAGAGGAAGGAACAAAAAGATATCTAAAATGTATAATAAACCATACTGATAGAAGATGTAGACAGGAAAGAGAAAAATAATATGAAAAGTGAGACAGAATCAGAAGAGAGAATCAGAGAGAACAGGTGAAAGAAAATAAATGGAAAACCTAAAAAATGATTAAACATTACAAAAAAATTAGTTTGTTGGAAACCTACTTACAGGGAACACTGATACAAGGATATAAAAACGGGGAAAGTACAACGAAGAAATCAAGGAGAGAGAGAGAGAGATGTTGTTAATCTTAATTTTTTTATACAACATTTGCTGCTAAAGCTTTGGGGTAAATTTTATCTTACAATTGTTTTATGTGGCTACTATTGATACTTTATGTAAATTTACATAATATGGAATTTTGTGGAATCTAACACTATCAGACAGATTATTTGGCATTTTGTTATATGTAAAGCTTATTGAAAAGATAAAAGTAAAGAATTTCCTGGGAGACATACAGATTTGTGATCAGCATTGGTCTGCATTATAAAATTCTCCTTGGTTTTGTTGCTTGCATTATCAGAAATAATGTACTTGTACTTTTACTTAACTAGAGGAATTCTTACATTATTTTTTAAGACCAAGCTGACAGTGAGTCCAAGTGCAGTAAATCTAAAGATTTCATTAAATGGTAGATGGGACATTAGATGGGGAAGGGTCTTAGTTACTACAGAGAATTCTTTCCCAGGCATCTGGCTGGTGGGTCTCAAAATGTTCAGGGTCTAACTGATCTCAATATTTGGAGTCAGGAACGAATTTCCCCCGCCCAGATAAGATTGGCAGAGACCCTGGGTTTTTTTGTTTTCATTTGCAGCCTGGGGCATAATTCACTTGCTGGTTTGAACTAAAGTAGATGGTAGATTCTCTGTAGCTTGATTTAAATCAAGATTTGAAGAGTTCAGTAAAAGACAGGGCCTTAGTGCCATTTTCTATGACCAACTCTAGATTTTGAGAACCAAATTTTCCAAAGATAGAAGTCTTCTTACATATGAAGAAATGTATGCATAATTGCATGACTGCCATATTGTGTGCCGACTCCATGGATGCTCCGGGGCTGGAGCACCCATGGGGAAAAATCAGCGGGTGCTCTGCACCCACCGGCAGCCAAGTTCCCCCTCCTTGCCTCCTTCTCCCCTCCCCAGCATGCTGCATCCCTGCTCCTCCCCCTCCTTCCCAGTGCTTCCTGCTCCCCCACCGCCTAACAGCTGTTTGGCGGCGCTTAAGACTTTCCAGGAGAGAGGGGGAGGAGCAGGGAAGCGGCACACTCAGGGGAGGAGGTAGAGAAGAGGCAGGGCAGGGGCGGGGACTTGGGGAAAGAGGGTGGAATGGGGGGGGAAAGGGAGTGGGGTTGGGGTGAGAAAAGGTGGGGGTGGGGTAGGACAGAGGGGAAGTCGGCGCCTAAAATGGCTGCTTATGTACTTTGGTTGCACAGACAGCTGTGTGGGCAAAAGGGAAGTCAGGCTCTTAATTATCTGCATGTGAGTCTAGTTGCTGGTTTACTCATGTAACCGCTTGCATTTTTGTGCCTGTGCTTCCATGATCCATGTGTTGATAATGTGGTCCTAGGAATCAGAAAGCCAGATTCTCAGATAGAGTAACTCTGCATACTTTGACTTCAGCAGACATATGCTGATTTACATTAGGTGAAAATCTGGGCCAGAGTTTGTCGTCATCCGTTTTTATCCAGTG